GAGCAAGATCTTCAAAGAGTTGTGATGTTTCTAATGGCTTCTCAGCTATTGAAATAGAAAACCTCTCAAATGAGATGGATCGATCTCCAAGTGGTCTATATGTTTACTTTCACTGAAGGTGCTGTGTGCGCGGGAATGCGTGACATAACAATTTGTTATTGCCCCCAAAGGAAGACGTAAGGCAGTAGAAAAAGAACATCAGAATCGACCAACCTGAATGTACCATCGTCTGGCGATGCCGAATATTCGCTGACGCCTTCTTTGGTGGTGGCGTCAAACGGATAGTTGGCGACAAGATCGCCTTCATGAAGATTTGCTGACAGCACAAACGGCAACGACAAAGTCCAGCGACCGACAGCTACCGTTTCGGGTTGGCGCTGAAATGAATCGCTTCAAAGCCCCTGCTTCTCAAACGTCAGATCGATTAAGCATGGTTCAAAAGCTGTACAGGGCGAAGTTTCTAGTCCATTTTTCGGTTTCACTACTTCCGTAGTGAATCCGAAAAGGTGAGTGATGAGCGGATACCACGAAAAAGAAATACCTCCTTGTCATCAGCAAACAGTTCCATCAGATGATCGTATTTTGGCACTTTCAATTTTTCTAATTCGTAGAAAACACTGTCCAAGTCTGGGAAGTCCCTGCAAAGTACTCTAGTAAAATTCAGTCGTTAGGAGTATTGAAAATTTCTATTGACGGAAGATCTTCAGTACAGTAAAGGCCTGGTCAGTTCTTGGGGATCTGTTGCGGTTTCTCTTTCTAATTGCCGTTCACTAGCGCTCAGGTGAGTACTGGCCTAAAAGGTATCTTATAAATCCAACTGTAGATGTCGCGTCACAGTTCAGTTGCACCCCTTTGAGTTTCCGCTGCTACTGAATGTAAACTTTTCCCAACATCCCTGTCTTTCCATACTACTTCCGATTTCGGCATCACCCCAAAAAGGCGGAGTTGGTCATAAAAACTCAAGGATGGCGATGTAGTACGTTTTATTGAATTGTGCTGCTTCCATCTTCCCACAGAAGCTCAGTTTGAGTCCATCTCGGAAGCCATAATTGTAGCCTAGGAAACTGCTTTTTGAAGTACTGCGCTTCCGCACTCAAAGGTGCACGTGATCAAGGAAAATTAATTAATGAAAAAAAAACTGCGGTGGATTCCCTTCTGAGAACTAGGAGTGCAAGGGACAGCAACTGCCCTCAGAAGTTCTGCATAATTACAGCCCATAAAACGGTCGTTTCTCAAAAAAATGCATTAAACGTTGCACTGCTAACCTGTTAAGATCGACTCCGTTGGCATTAGTTCTTCCCGTTAGCCAAGCACGCTCTGAAGGCTCCTGAAATCCATCAGACATTTTTTCGGCCTTGATAATACATTCTCCTCAAATTTCCCGCAGACGAAAGCCTTTCAGAAACTCCTTAGCAGAAGCAGTGAAGGAATGTGGGTAAAGAACTTTCTAAAAGATCAAGAACTATCCACTCTACTCCCACGTTCCCTTTTCGCTCGAGGCTATACTTCTCCACCACTCGGCAGAGCCTTGGGAAAATTTCTTTTTTTCAATGAAATCCCTTTACGATATCCTCTTCTGGAGGTTTACACCGAGTTCTCGAATGGGCAATGTCCAGAAGAAAGGAAAGTACTGCTTTTATATGGGAAGTGACGTGAGGAAAAGTGCCCGTTCAAAAGCAAATTTCGTCTAAGAGCTAGTGCAAGCTCAGTCATGGAGTTTATCAGTTCTCCAACAGGGGCAGCACGTTCCTCTCATTAGCTCCTGATGGCTACTTACTATAGCTAACTAGCATTTACGAGCTTATCGCCATGAACCGATTATCCGGCAACAACGAAGGAAGGCTCAGGTGTAAATAGCATGTGTGGTGTCGGGAAGACATATGTGAGGGTTCTAATCTGTTCGAGGCAAAAAATTTGGCTCCCACTGAGCATTTTCGTGTTCTCATTCGCACCACGAACAGCAAAGAATGAAAAGAGCTTGCAAAAAATAAAAATAAAAAATGGATCAATGGTCGCAATGTGGGCATCAATGTGGTCTTCAACAAATCCCAAGCATGCCCACTCGATCGTTTCCGGATCAGCAAAGAGAAAATCCGATGTTAAGCGTTCCTCTAGGTTGCAAGATCCTCAAGGTACCCTCTTTGAAGCATGCTTCGACGTCAACATCAATTCTTTTTCTCACGACTAGCAACTACTTTCTTTGGCCAGAAGCTCGCCTGACGAGCTATTGACGTCATCGGCAGTCTCAGTCGCCTCTGCTTTGACTTTTTATCGGAGAGAGGATGTGGGAAATAACAGAAATCGAATAAACTCAAAGCCATTCTTTACCTACCGTATTCAATGCACGTTCGAAGCCATCAGGATTCATCGAAGGCAGAATGTGGATTGAGGTTGAATTGAGTAATTGCAGAACTTCCTAAAACCAAATGGTCAAAAAATTTTGAGATGTAAATATTCACCAATGTTGATGCAAAGCCGCTTTTCATTTGAAACAATAATATTGCTATTGATCAATATGGTTGTCCAGTGAAGACTTTCTCATTTGGGATTCATAGATATTCGCCCGTTTACTTATGTCGTTCCCTTCCAACTTGAACTTTGCGTTGCTATGGCATCCGGATAAGACTCAGAAATTCTCATGAATTTTCAATATTTTAGTCAAATCAAGTATCAAATACTCCGAAGGGTTGGAATGTTTCGGAAAAGGATGTGCCGAATATATGAAAAGAGAGTGTTGATTTTCTCTGGAGGCCATACCGATCTTCTATTAACCCCTGATCTTACTCCCGGGTGAAGCCAACTTTCCAGTTCTTACAATTTAACGATTTGATGTGTCTCAGAAAGTATTTTTCTCTTTCAGTGAAGGGGTAAAGGCGGAGGGGGCTGGTGCAAAGTGGCACTGCTAATTGGGAAGTTCGCCGGAGTAGAATGACTTCCGCTTGCATGTGGGTATTCTTTCCGACTAAAGTATATGGCAGTGTTAATTTCTGCCAATAACTCTATCGATTTATCGCCAAAACTTGACTGTTTATTAATTTATGTATGAACGTTGCTGCCGTCACAGCGCTGACGGCATTCATCAGGGGACACTATCCGACCCACGAAGAATCCCTGATGAGCATTACCGATTCATTATACGGTAGCAAACGTAAGGTTACGTGAATATATCAGAGAACATCCCGATCCATCGGGACAGCCTGTTCAATTCTTTCTGTTTCTCTCTCTAACCATTATGTGAGGCAGAATCAGTTCCCACGGGGTATCCACGGAATCCCGTCTAGCAGCCCTATGCGGCACGACAAAAAGCAGGAAGTTAACTTGGAAATCTAAAACTTCACTGATGAATAGCCTTGCTCGTTTATTCTTTTCAAAGACCCCACGAACAATCATGTTTACAGCGAAAGCTGTGGTTTGTAAAGCAGGACTTT